CACCGGAATCAGCCTGGAAAACCTTTGCTGAACTCCCTCAAGAGCAAGAGCATCCTTCCTCAGAAAAGGATACAAAATTGCACACAATATTCTGGGTGTGGCCTCACCAAGGCCCTGTATAACTGCAACAACACATTCCTGCTCCTATACCCAAAACTTCTCGCAATGAAGGCCAGCATACCATTTGCCTTCATTACCACCTGCTGCACCTGCGTGCTAACATTCAGTGACTGGTGCACACTCCCCTCTCCCAATTTACAGCCATTCAGGTAGTAATCTGCCTTCTTGTTTTGCTTCCAAAGTGAATAACCTCACATTGATCCAAATTATACTGCTTCTGCCATTGATTTGCCCACTCACCCAACTTGTCCAGATCCAGATTTCTGCATCCTCATCACAGTTCACCCTCCTACCCATTTTGATATCTTCTGCAAACTTTGAGATTTATAGTTTGTTCCCTCATCCACATCATTAATATATATTGTGAATAGCTGGAGTCCCAGCACCAATCCCTGTGGCACCCCACCAGTTATTGCCTGCCAATTTGAAAAGGACCCATTAATTTCTACTCTTTGTTTTGTCTCTGTCCCAACCAGTTTTCTATCCAACTCAATACACTTTCCCCAATCCAATGCGCTTTAATCTTGCACAATAATCTCTTATGTGCGATTTTGTCAAATGCTTTCTGAAAGTCCAATCATACCATATCGATTGGCTCCCCCTTGTCAACTCTACTAGTTCAATCTTCATGGAATTCCAACAGATTTGTCAAGCATGATTTCCCCTTCATAAATCCATGGTAATTGTGTCTGATCCTGCCACTGCTTTCTAAATGCTCTGCTATAAAGTCCTTGATATTGGATTCGAGAATTTTCCTCACTACTGATGTTTGGCTTACTGGTCTATAATTCCCTGTTTTCTCTCTACCTCCCTTAACATTAGCTACCCTCCAATCAACAGGGACTGTTCCAAAGTCGATAGAATCCTGGAAGATGACCACTAATGCATCCATTATTTCTCTTCCTTAAGTACTCTGGGATGTAGATTATCAGGCCCTGGGGATTTATCCATCTTCAATCCCATCAATTTTCCCAGCAGCGTTCCTCTACTAATATTGATCTCCCTCAATTCTTCCCTCTCACCTCTTTATAAGTTTTATTAATGTTTTATTTGAAAGGGCCACATGTAATGTCGCCAAAACAACAAAGCTATGTGAGAAGTAATCTCTGAGGACACACGGAGTACCAAAGGGATATAGATAGATTAAGATGGTCGACAAGATGGCGGCAAATGGAATATAACACTGTTATTTACTTTGATAGCAAGAATAGAAAACAGAATTGTTTTTAACCTGTGGTAAACTGTTATTATCGATGTGTATCCGTGTGTGTGTGTGTGTGTGCGAGCTCATGTGTACTTGTTTAGACTTTTAAGTTTCCCTGAACCTGAAACACAGTAGATGGTCATTATTGTAAGGATTTGGTGAGCAAAGAAGCCTTGCTGCAACTGCGTAACAGGTCAGCTGAACAGAGCCAACAGAAGTTAGAAGAAATGTTGGTACTATGTACAGTTTTGTTCTCCATACCTAAAAACAGTTATGCATCCTTGGGCAATTAAGGATGGGCAATAAATGCTGCCTCGGCAGTGATACCCTCATTCCCTGAATGAATAAAAAAGCTTCGACTTCCAGAAGGCTTTCAATAATGTCGCACTAAGAGATTAGCATTTAAAATTAAAACACATGGGATTGGGTAATGTAATATCATGGGTCCGGAAATGGCTGACAGACAGGAAGCAAAGAGTAGGAATAAACGAGTCATTTTCTGAGTAGCAGCCAGTAATTACTGGGATGCCACAGGGATCAGTGCTTGGAATCCAGTTATTCACAGTAGGTATTAATGATTTTGATGAGGGAACTAAATGTAATATCTCCAAATTTGCAGATAACACAATCTCGGTGGGAGGGTGAACTGTCAGGAGGATACAGAGATGCATCATGTGAGTGACAAATTGAATGAGTGGGCAAATGTATGGCACATGAAGTATAATGTGAATAAATGTCAGGTTATCCATTTTGACAGCAAAAAACATAAAGACATATTATCTGAATGGCAACAGATTGGGAAATGGGGAGATGCAATAAGACTTCACTGCCCTTGTACACCAGTTACTGAAAATAAGTAAACAGGTGCAACAGATGGTGAAGAAAGCAACTTGTATGTTGGCCTTCACAGCAAGAGGATTTGAGTATGGGAGCAGAGATTTTGCACCAATGCTGCAATTGCACAGGGCCTTGGTGAGACCACACCTGGAGAATTGTATGCAGTTTTGGTCTCCTTATCTCAGGAAGGATATTCTAGCTATGGAGGGAAAGCAACAAACATTTATCAGGGTGATTCCTGGAATGGCAAGACTGACGTATAAAGAGAGACTGGATCAGTTAGGACTATATTCACTGTAATTAAGAAGAATGAGGGGAATCTCATAGAAACATATAAAATTCTGACAGGATGAGGCAGTGTAAATGCAGTAAGGGTGTTCCAGATGACTCGGGAGTCCAGAACACATGGTCACAGTTTAAGGATACACAGTTTAAGGCCATTTAAGACTGAGATTAGGAGAAATTTCTTCACCCTGAGTCTGGTGAGCCTGTGGGATTTTCTGCCACAGAAATCAGTTGAGGCAAAAATATTGAATATTTTCAAGATGCAGTTTCAAATCATTCATCAGGCTAAAGTGATCAAGGGATATGGGAAGAATTTGGGACCAATGTTCTGAGTTGGATGATCAGCCATGATCATATTCATTAGCAGAGCAGGTTCAAGGAGCTGAGTGACCTACTTCTGCTCCTATTTTCTATCTTTCTATTTTTTATATTCTTCGGTTATTTTCAGTGGCTTTCCATTAAGGTCAAGATTCACTGCTTGCCTTTGTCTCAAAGTGTTGTACTCACACTTATCCAGAGGAAACTGCATCCACCTTTATCTGTCCATATCTTTACTCTCTTTGTCATTTTTAAATGTTTAATCCTTTTTTTTGTTTTGATCTCAGTTATAAGAATATTTGATAATGCAAATCTTTGGTAAGATCAAGCTCGGTAGACCATATAATCTTTTAAAGAATAGAATGTGTGGATGAAGAAAGGTTAAGAAAATGACAGGATTCCAGGGTTGAATTGCACAGCCATTGACAATTATCTCTATTGTATAAACTTATACTCATAGAGTCACACAGCATGGAAATAGATCCTTCGGTCCAACAAGGTTATGGAGAACATAATCCCAAGATAAACCAGTCCCACCTGCCTGCTCCAGGCCCATATCCCTCCAAAGCTTTCCTATTCATGTACTTTTCCAGATTTCTTTTAAACATGGTAATTGTACCCACATCCGCCACTTCATCAGGAAGCCCATTCCACATGCAAAACAGCCTCTGTGTAAAAAAATTGCCTCATGTCTTTTTTAAACCTCTCTCCTCCCATCTTAAAAATGTGTCCCCTAGTTTTGAAATTGCCCCACCTAATGGAAAAGACAAGTACCATCAATTCTATCTATATCTTTCATTACGTTATAAACTTTTACCAGGTCACCTCTCAACCTCCCAATGCTCCAGTGAAAAAAGTCCCAGTCTATCCAGCCTTTCCTTATAATTCAAACCTTCCATACCCAGCAACATCCTGGTAAATCTCTTTTGAACCCTCTCCAGCTTGATAATATCCTTCCTATAACTGGGTGACCAGAACTGAACACAGTATTCCAGAAGAGGCCTCCTGTACAACCTCAACATGACTTCCCAACTCTTGTATTCAAAGGAGTGAGCTTAGTAGGTCCACCTGCTGTTTTAAAGTTGTCCTCCATGTTGACTCTATCAAACAAACATTGGTGACCTTGTCAACTGCTCTTGATGTCCTGGCAATCACAAAAACCCAATAATTTTAATTACCTTACCTTTATAGCAATGATGTTCCCAGAAGTAAACATAACTAATAAATATTGGCATGAGCCATGAACTAATTAATTGCAACAGTAATCACATACTTCCATAGACATACTGATATTTACCATCCCACCATTGGTGGCTGTGCTTTGAGCTGCCTAGGCCTCAAAGTTGCTTGTGCAGCTTTTGTATATCTGTATTGTCTTCCAGACACATTCGGAACTTAAAATGAAAACAGTGAGGTGCTGGAGAAACTCAGCAGGTCTGGCAGCATTCAGATGGATATGGAGAGAAAAATAGAGTTAACATTTCAAGTCCAGTGATCCTTTGTCAGAACTGTTCTGGACTTCTTTTTAAATCATTCACAGGATAAGACGTCCCTGGCTAGGCCAGCATTTATTGCCCATCTCAGAGAGCAGTTAAGATTCAACCACATTGCTGTGGTCTGGAGTCACGTGTCATCCAGATTATTATTACTCTTAATTCCAGATTTTTTTATTGAATTCAAATTCCGCCATGACAGGATTCAAACCTAAGTCCCCAGAGCATTAACCGAGTCTCTGGAATTAACAGTCCAGCGGTAATACCACAACTCCATCATCTCCCCTTAAAATAATAAAACTTTTTTTCTTTCTACAGGTGCTGCCAGACCTGCTGAGTTTCTCCAGTACTGTTGGTGTTTCACACCTCCAGCATCCACCAATCTTTGACTTATTTTACTCTCCAAATTTATTTCAACATCAATTTATCCAACTTTGTGCCCAGTGGGTATGCTTCCTCATCTAACATTCAGCTGAACTTCCTGCAAAAGCTAAGTTCTGGTGAAACATGTTATTAAATACATTCTCTAAATTGCTAAACATTATATAGACTCCATTTTCTTTGATAAGAAACATGTTGGAACTTGTAATCAGATTCTATGTGGTTGACAAAGGAGAGAGTCCATTGGTGACCTGTTGAGCTTTTGGAGACTTTGTCAGCTTTTTCAAAGTCTGGGTTAACTGGCAAACAAAATGACACATTTACATTAGTGCTGCTTTTGTTAATTATTGTTGTTTATTAATATTTGAAATAATGCAAGTGCTATTGCAAATGTATGCATTTGATTACTTGGAAGAGTTCAACTAAAACTAATGTTCGTGAAATGGTAAGAGGTAAAACGTGGAAAACGTGACAACTCGGGTGTTTGGTCTTGTACTGTACTAGCGCTAAGCAGGACTCCAGGTCCTCAAGACCCCTCCCTCATAAATTCTCCGTTGCTCATGCGCTGTGCCCATGTTGTAAACAATGAAAAACGTCTACGAGTCACGTATAGTATGATCAACTACAGAAGTCAGCGGAACCATCAGTTTATCAACTGCTAACAAAAAAACTACGCTCGTTGTGTGATAAATTCCGTTATCACATTCCATCATGTAATGTTGACAACACCAGATTAATAAAACTGGTATTAATAGTACATAAGAAAGGACAAGAACCAAAAGTGACGGAGGTTAACTTTGCAGTGTAATAGTAAATCAACACTGTAAATTTTCTTTTAACCTGCTGGTCAGCAGATGAAAGTTGCCTAAATTAATAAAATAAACTTGGCATATTTAATCTAAATACTGTACGATTAAATATACACGTTTAATTAGATGTTTATTTAAACAAAACACTTTACGTTTTTACTCCCACCTATACCGCCCCTTTGTTCCAGTTTCTACCAATGTACAATTAGGGGACGGTCCAGTGTTGTCAGTTCGTATTGGTTGTGGTGGTCATGTGACGCGGAGCCTCGCATTCGAAATTGGAATGTTGATACATAACAATTCTGGTAACGCAAAGAATCATTTTGTAGAAAGCAGCGAGTGAGAGGAGTGGTATTATCATTAATGATTCTACCCACTTCTCGCATTTACCTCAGTTTGGAACTCCGTCTTTAAGAAAGAATAATTTTAAGTTTGCTTCTAGAATCTCCGAGTGGTAAAGAAAATAATCTGACGGCGATAAAACCCCCAGCTAATCCCGGTACACCCGAACCCGGGCATGCACTGTAATAAGCGTTGGGGAAAGAAAAAGTTAAAGAGAATAGTGAAAAGGTAGACGGGAAAAGGTGCTTGCGGTCACATTAGTGGCCGTAATCGTTTAAAGAACAATAATATCCCTTCACATCGAACAGTTGTGAAGCCGAGAGATATGTGAAAGGGTAAGCACGCCCAGAAGATTCATAATGTCTAACAGTAAAAGAGGCGTTGTCCATTGGGAAGCCAGGAAAGAGAGATCCGATTGCAAAGATTGTTCAAAGAGTAGACTTGATTCGAAACGGGTCGGTCATCGCTGGTACAGACGTGGAAGGGCAGAGTATGGCAGAACAGGCAGGTTTTTTGGTCGTGGCCACCAACACCAGTCGACCGAACTCCAAGGGGTGAGACTGCGTCCAGTCAATGTCCGTGGTAATCGTGCACCAGGCATGAGGGCTCCTCGAAATACGAACCAATTCCTGATGCACGAGAAGTACCAACTGATGCACATGAGATCTGACTCGACTGGGAGTGACAGTGGCTCGGAGATCGAAGTAGACATGGACATAGACTCGTACCTGGGTGTGTTAGAGAACGCCCGAGGCGCGCTGGACTGCACCATGTCTCCCTTGTCTGATGATAACCTGTTACGCTTCAGATTCTTTGAACAAATAGATCACGATCAGAGTTTGCAGTATTTTCCGTCAGAGGACGACGTAGTAAAAAGCGAACGTTTTATGCGACAGGACTTTGCTGCATTTTGCAGTACATTTAACGTAGAGTAGTTGCAATATTATTACAGTTTTGAGACGAACTATTCTCTCGGTTTAGGGAGAATATGGTGCGAAAACATTTTGTAAATGGCAACCATTTGGTTTGCCTGTAAGGGTAACCCCGTGTGTCGTTTCTATGACCCACAAATACTTTGCCAATAAACGTATTTCATTTATTTAATTTTTCAACGAGTCGTTATTTTAGATCGAATACGGATGTATTTGAAATGTTATTTCAGACGTAAAATCTATAGTTCAGCTTTTGGACTTGGGATACGATCGCAAGCTATTCACAGGGCTATATACGTAAAGTGCTGAAATGGGACATATGTTGTTACATAGAATTTTTTTTGGCTGAAAATTGGAATTAGTTTTGAAATGGCGAAATGCTTTTTATCAGTTTAACTATAAGCCTCTAGTAACGATTGTTGTTGGGATAAAGGGAAGGGAATGAGCATAGAGAGGAACGCCTTCCATTTCGTCTGACAGACATTTTACTTGACGGCACCATTTCAGGGTTTGTGTTTTAGTGTTGTAGACTATCCGCAACCTCAAGTACTGGCAAGGTTCACGGTGCTGGAAGGTATTTATTTTCTGCAGTGTAGTATACATAGCTGGGAAATAAGTGATATGTATTTATTTCAAACAGAAACCATAGAAAATAAAACTGCAGTAACTGAAACCTTTGCTGCCGAGTTGGGCGTCAATTTTCAAACAAGTCCGCACAAGAATCGCGGTTTATAAACTCTGGAAGAGGCTGGGTAGTACTAATGCCCGGAAGCTTAGGTGGTCGCTCTTGAAACATTGCACAAATGCCATCATAGCAGCTAAATCTGAATTTATTCAATAAATCTTAAAGCGAGTGTAACGAATTGTGACCATGGATTCAAAAGAAATGTAACAACCTCGTTGATTTGCTGAAAGATTTCAGAGAAGCGCATCTGCCACTTTTACCTGCTGTCGACTGCATGTGACTCCAGTCCCGTTAGCAATATGGCGCACTCTGAAAGAGCTAGCAAGATATCCAGTTTAAAGGTAGTTACAGATAGCTCACAACTGCTGCTTATGCCAGTGATGCCCACAGCTTCTGAAAGAATAAAACAAAAAAATTGCAAATCATTTCATTTGCAATTAAATTCAACTTGTTTCTATACATATTCCACTCAATATGGATGCAATAGTTTCAATATTTACATTCCATGCTAGGTATACAATCCAAGGGCCAAACATTTAAAATTATTCAAAGTGCAGTAGAGTTAAGCTTCATTTTAAAAAATGCACTACTTTCCACTGAGATGTCTAAGTACAATGCCAATGCACTTGATCTTCACAATATATATTCTTTGCATGACATACAGCCCAAGGGGTTCTACAGTTTCCAGCCCTTTTGTGTAGTATGGCTGAAAGACCTTTGTGCACTTTTCTGACACAAAAAAACATTATCATCCTTTCAGGTTGTTCCTTCTAAATTACTACATATATCTTGACATTGATCTACATTATATTGCAGATGACTATTTCACCGGTCTAGCTTGGTCCTCCCAATTTCTACTACTATCATACTACAGAACTACCATGTTGTATCATTTGCAAACTTCAAAACTATATTCCAAGTCCTGGTAATTTATAAATTATTAAAAGCAATGGTCCAAATACTTACCATAGCGGCAACTCCCCAGTCAGAAAACCATTGTTTTCCACATCTCATTCTATATAAGCAACATTCATACACAAATTATCATGATTCCTTTTATTACCACGTGCATACATGTTCTGAAGAACAACCATGAGGTGCTTCAAAAGATAGCTGGTTGAAAAGTTTGTTCAAACATCTACCTTTAACAAAGCCATAGTGGCTGCCTCATTAAACCAGGTTGCTGACTAATCTTTCAAGGTCAGAAATCACACAACACCAGGTTATAGTCCAACAGGTTTATTTGAAAACACAACTTTTCAGAGCCTCAGTCCTAACACCTGAAGAAGGACTGACGCTCCGAAAGCTTGTGTTTTCAAATAAACCTGTTGGACTATAACCTGATGTCATGTGATTTCTGACCTTGTCCATGCCAGTCCAACACCGGCACCTCCACATCATAACCTGCTTTCAACATTCATGTTCATTTTCACTCAAATGTGAGACCAGATTGAATTGTAGCATTCGCCTCAGTCATGATTGCTGGAAAGCAGAAAACATTGACGACAACTGTCTAAGACTTATCATCCAGATGCATGCAAAGTATTGGAGAGTATTCCATTACACACTCCTGAATTGTGTTTTATACTAGATTACGGATTTTGGGCAATTGGAAAAGGAGTTATTTGCTTCATAATTTTGAGGGTCTTACCTGGTCATAATGTTATCCAGGTGGCTAACGGACTGTTTCAGTATGAAAAGGACACATAAATGGATTTAAGCAATACAATTATCAGAAAACATGTCCTGGCAGGGTATGAAATTTGGGTCTGAAAAATGGTAGTAGAAACTTAAATAAAGGCAATTCAAAGATGAAGACAGAGTGAGCTAAAATGCCTTTATAAAACCAAATTAAAAGATAAAACAGGAAATAAGCAGTGGCAGACACTTTGGAAACATTTCATAATTACAACAAAGATATTCAATTGGGAAAAGAAAGCCCTTAACAGAGTGATAAATCATCTGAAGCTAACTAAGGATATTAAGGATTGTATCAAATTGAAAGATTTGGCATAAAATGTTGCAAGGTTTTTTGGTTTCTAGAAGCCAAAAATTTTTATATTTTGGTCTCAAAATACAACAAATAAAAAAAGGGAAAAATAGATGAGATTAAACCATGAAATCAGATCAGAAGAGCTTCTACAAGAATATGTAGAAGCATGCGAGTACCGAAAGTAAACATTGGACCATAAAACTTGTAGGGTATTCATTCTGTAGCCAGCAGACCATGTGCACCTACACAGCTTTCTCCTTCACCTTTACAACGTTTCACTGGGCTATTTGTTTAATCATATTTTGATTGGAGTTGCAAGTCCTCCCTCCTCAAAGACAAAGATGATAATCATACAGTGGAGAATCTGGCAGCAGATTCCTGGGTTCTGCTGAAAGCCTCCACGGCACACATATTGTTTTCTCATCATGGTTTGGAGGGTGGATCCGAAGGAAATGCTCTCTGAATCCCCAATGTCGTCAGTGCAGAACATTGTGGCAAAAGACATCGTTGCTCATATATGTGGCATTCAAGTGTCCACTTCAGCCCCTCCCCCCACCCACCTTGTTCTCAGAACTCTTTAGATTAGATTTAGATTTATTTCATTGTATTTTAGTTTACGTGACAATGATTTTTCACATACAAAATGCAAAGTGTCACCATGCTAAGGCACCATCTTGAAACACGGAATACAATGCAAGATTTTACTGCAACAGAATTCATCTTTCCTCCTTCTGCTGGTTATCCTCCATCACTCCGTTCGCTGTTTGATGCGGAGCGGGTCTGTAACAGGCTCTGGGGTCTCCATTATGGGCCCACCTCCACCTCACTCCTGCAATCACCGTGTCCGCGTTGGAACCACGGGCCTGGTGTAGTACCCCCTGCTCTCCCTCCAACACTCCTCCAGACACTGCCATCAGTCATTGGTAACTGGGATCCTGGCTCCAGGTTCCTCCACTGGCGACAATGAAGCTTCTGTGACCTCAGCACTAAGAGCAGAGTTGGTCAGGGATCCGAGGCTGTGCAGGGCCCATGGAAAAAAACTGCAGAAAGACTATGAAGCTGCCACGGCCTCAAATGATGAAGATATGCAAGATGCCCATGAGCAGCCGAGCCCCGGAATCAGGAGCCAAACGCTGCCAACCCCATTTTTACCTATAAGTTGCCCACCCTCTCAAATTTTTTGCCACCCCACTCCCATGTGCTACACCTACCTTTAACCTCCACTCTCACACAGCCCAACCAAAACATTTGAATTGCCCAATTCACCTTCACTAGTTTTTGAGCAAACACTAGTGGAAAATCTGGAGGCACCAGGAAAGAAGGAAATTAAAAGAATCAATAACACAGGAGAAAAGTATGACACAAACTAAAGGCTGACTGCTTCCCTGGACTTGACAGCCTATATCTCAAGGTCTTAAAAAATGAGGCTACAAACAGCGTGAATTCATTTATCACAATTTAACAAAACTTCCCAGATTATGATAAGGTTCGAGGGGATTGGAAAACTGCAAAGTTGACATCCCTATTCAAGAAAGGGAGAAAACTATTGGCTTGTGAGCCTAACACCAGTCATTGGGAAAAAGGTGGAATCCATTTTTTAAGCAAGGAGCAGAATATTAGGATAAAATGGAACTAGTTCAGATTTCTATAAGACATTTGATCTGGTGCTATGTAAAAGGTTACAACATAAAAGATGAGTTCACAGAATGGCAGTGGATAAAGGATTAGTTAACTGACACCGAGAGTTAGGACTAAATGAGCCATCTTCAGTTTGGACAATGCTAACTAAGAGTGTCATACGGATTAACGCGAGAGCCTCAAGTATTTACAATCTTTATTAATAAATTACAATGAGAGACTGAGTGTTTTGTAACCAGAGTGAAATTTGCTGATGATGTAAAGATAGCTGAGAAAGCAAGTTGTGAAAAGGTATATATAAATAGGCTAAGTGAGGAGGTCAAAATTTGTCAGAGAGAAGAGGATGTGTGAAAATGGGAAGAAAGAGAAAGTAAAATATTGTACAATGCTGCAGAGAAGAGGGATTGGAGAGGGGAAGCTGAATAGGCTCGGGCATTTTTAACTGGAGCATTGGAGGCTGAGGGGTTTATAAAATCATGAGGGACATAGATAGGGTGAATTGCCAAGGTTCTTTGCCTAGGCTGGAGGAGTCTAAAACTAGAGGGAATAGGCTTAGGGTGAGAAGGGAAAGATTTAAAAAGGACCTGAGGTGTAACACTTTCATGCAGAGGGTGGTATGTGTATGGAAAAAGCTGCTAGAGAAGTGGAAGAGGCTGGTACAATCACAACATTTAAAAGGCATCTGAATGGGTATAAGAATATGAACAGTTTGGAGGGATATGGGCCAAATTTTGGCAAATGGGACGAGGTCATAGAATCAGAGAATCCCTCGAGCATGGAAGCAGGCCATTCAGCCCATTGAGTCCACAGCAGCCCTCCGAACAGCATCCAACCCAGACCCACACCCCTCACCCAATTCCTGTAACCCTACATTTCCCATGGCTAATCCACCTTGCCTGCACATCTTTGGACTGTGGGAGGAAACCCACACAGACACAGGGAGAATGTGCAAACAGAGTCGTCCAAGGGTGGAATCGAACCTTTGTCCCTGGCACTGTGAGGCAGCAGTGCTCATCACTGAGCCACTGTGCTGCCCTAAGGTCAGATTAGGATGTCTGGTCGGCATGGACCAGTTGAACTGAAAGGTCTGTTTCTATGCTGTATGACTCTATAACCCCTGTACGTGAAAAGTTAGCATGCAGGTATAGCAAGCAATGAGGCAAACAAAATGTTGGTCTTTAAATCGGCAGAAAACAGAGTACAGATGTCTTAGAACAATGGTCCAGAGTGTTGGCAAAAACATGTCGAGCATGCAAGTAGTTTTGGTCTCCTCCTACAAGGAGGGATATAACATTTTTAGGGTAGGTAAACGAGTATATGAAAAAGGAACAAGGGTAGTCCATTCAGCCTTTTGGGACCACTCTGCCATTCAATGAGATATTGGCTGATCTTCTGCGTCAATATCGTTTGGCCCCACTACCCACATTGAACTCGGTCTTTAACGTATTAGAGAGAACATATCCTCTTGTGGGGGAATGTGAAACAAAGGGGCACTTTCAGAATAAACCCATTTACTACATAGATGAGGAGGAATTTCTCTTTTTTGCAGGCTAGGATTCTTTGATTGTGATTGGCAGGTTTTTGAAATGTATGAAAGTCAAAGGTTATGGATACAAGCAGAAAAATTGGAGTTGAAGATAGGCCATATCTAACCCAATGAAATGGCTCCAGAAGCATCTTCAATGATAGGGAGTCCTAACATATCAGTGCAAATAACAAGGCTGAGGCATTTTCAACCATTTGCAGCCAGAAATGGCATTTGGACAATCAATCCATCTCAGCTGTCTCCTGTGGATGCCAACATCATAGACAGCAGTCTTCAGACAATTTGGTTCACTGCACATGATTTTGAGAAACAGCTGAAAGCAATGGAAGAAGAAAAGTCTATGGGTTCCGTGTGGTAGTACTGAAGATCTGTCTCCAGAACTAGACAAACCCCGAGCCAGTCTGTTCCAGTCATCGACAATCAGTGATGGGCAAAATTGTCGGAGTACATCCAACAGCAAACAGTAGGACAAAATCAAATACTAATCAATCTACTTTTGATTACCACAGAGATGGAAGGTGTCATTAACCATCAAGAAGCACTTAGCAATAACAGCACAAAGAACTGGACAAATGTAGGAGGTCTGGCGGCATCTGTGGAAAGGGAAATTTTGTTAGTTTTGAGACCAATAGGAATCTTAATCAGCAAAGTTACTCAGCATTGACCTGCTCACCTATTCTTAGTCTGACCAGAGCTGGTGGAACACAAACTTTGTTGCAGCCTTAGACAAGACATGGGCAGAGGGGGGAAAAAAAAAGTCACTGCTCTTGACAACAACATAGGTTCTGATTGAGTTGCATCAAGAATCCCAAGTAAAATTAGTCAATAGGAATCAGGTAAAAGCGTTTGTTGGAGTCATACTAGCACAAAGAAGGGTGGGTGAGGTTGTTGTAGGCCATTCATCTCAGTCCCTAGCTATTGCTACAAGAATTCTTCACAGTAGTGCCTTAAAGCCCAGCATCTTCAGCAGCTGAATCAACAGTGTTACCATCACCATAAGTTAATGTTGGCATACTTCTCGGTACCTCATCCCATCCACCATCTTAAACAATAATTTCCTTCAACATTGGCACATACTGCTGTCAGTGTACACCATGTAGCAGATATACTGCTGTAGTTCATGAAAATTTCAACTAGAGGTCCTTCCAAATCTGTGAACTTTACACCTTCAAGAACAAGGGCCGCAGATGCATGGAAATATTACCTGCAAATTCCCCTTCAAAACTGTCTTGCCGCTCCTGCACTGTTGCTAAGTTTAAATCCTGGATCTCCGTGACAGCACCACATGTGTATCTACACCCATGTGGAATGTAGAAGCTCAGTATTTTTCACTATCACCTTCTCCAGGGCAATCAGCAATGGGCAATCAATGCTGGCTTTGCCAGTGACAGTGACACTCATCCCAAAAATTAAAAAGAACCAAGTTATGGATCTTGCTATCTGGGTCAACATACGCAGTGCAATATTAATTTACTTCCTCCCTTACAGACAACTGCATAGAACAATTTTAGTATCTACTTGGGCTGATATCCATTTGGCTGGGAGAAAAAAGTGGATATAAATTAATGTTGCACTGCTTATTAAGGCTGGATAAAATTTACACTTTTCAGGACCAAGAATAGAACAAAACAGGTTGTGCTGAACGAACCACAAACATGGCTGAAATGTTATCAGATGAATCCGGAAATCCTTATATTGTCTGCAACATCCCATCAGAACTTGATTTTCCAGATATTTTATAGCATATAGTGATGTATCAAAGTAAATTTATCTATACCAAGTTATGTTGTCATCAACATTATCTCTGTGTGCACCCAGCTTTGTAACTTTTAGTTGTCCGGACTGGGGAGAAAGCAAATCAAAATCTTTAGAGGGATGCTCACACACGCTCACACTACCTATTTTCAAAAATGTCCTTCTCCTCAATGTATGTTCACTATTTGAATGGAGATGAGTGAAGTTTCTTGTGATCAGGGTAGTCATCCTAGAGAGTAAAATATAGCAGATGCTGGATTTCTGAAATAAAACAAAATGCAGCAGAAACTCAATAACTGTGGAATCAGAAACAAGACTCAATGTTTCAAGTTCAGTATAACGCTTTGAAATAGGTTGTGCCAGATATGCTAAATTTCTCCAGCGTTTTCTGTTTTCATGTCCTGGAGAATAATATGCTATTAGAGAAAGTTTCCACTTTTCTCATATACATATTGGAGGATTGGGAAGTCAAACGAAAAGCTTTTCTAAAGTAAATAGATTCACTCAAGACTGTAATCAAGACTGCTTCATCATATCAGACAAAATAACTTTATTTCCTGTTTTACAAAAAATGAAGTGCATCGTCATTCAAAAATGACTAGCTTCAAATCCTTTTCCATCAGAATATCTGTAATTTTTAATATTTTTTCAGCAGTTTTCCCTTCCTACACCAATTGTATGAAGAGATATGGAGAAGAGATCTATTTTTATTCCTTTGTCATCCCGGTCTACAACTCGGAAATGTACAAGAGTAACGAGCTGATCTTTCCCGCCTTGTGGGAAGAACTTTGTCTCATCTCAAACTGCTCAGTCAGTTCAATTAAGATCAATAGCCATTTGTGAGGAATCACAACATGATAAAATGTGAATCTGTGTGTCTCACCAACTTATGGCAAGTATAATGGGTAATGATTTTAAGAACTAAAATAATAATACAGCCTTCCAAAATGGGCAAACACAAATATTCAGACATTCACACTGAAAATTAGTTTTGCCTGAATTGATAGCACTTTGCTCCTGAACAGGCATTCGTCAAACGAATACAGATCTACGGCTTGGCCTTTATTTTCCTTTTTGCTTCTCTGTGCTTCTTTCGGTACTCCTAAAACAAAAAGAAGATAAAAGATAAAGGATCAACTGCATCTTTGTTGGCTCTCTGAAATAACAATCCTCAGCATATTGACCTTTTTCATCTACATTAAAAAGAAAATCAAGTATCTATTCACTCACCTTCTAGAAGCCATTATGGAATTTATTCAAGAGTTTTTCTGCTAGAATGGGGTTTGGGGATTTGAGGGGGGTGTGAAGTCATGTTGGAAGACCAAGCTAAGGTTATTAAAATAATATGCGAGTGCATTAGTTTTATTTTAAGCTACTCCTCAGGTTATACATACAAATATCGAAGCTTGAAAATGAATAAGAATCCAAGTGAGAGGACCATGTGCTCCACCATGTAGCCGATTGAAGAGTTCATGTCCCTAAATCTCTCAAATACTGAATAATCAGATTTAGCAGGATTTCAATATGGCATGAGTTACAGGCCTTGGAAGAAGCCATTACGTTCAAATGATTAAAAGCCAACAGAGTCATACAGCATGGAAACAGACCCTTCGATCCAACTTGTCCACGTCGACCAAACATCCCAATCTGACCAAGTCACATTCGTCAGAATTTAGCCCTATTCCTCTAAACCTTTCCTATTGATATACCGATCCAGATCCCTTTAAATGTTATAATTATACCCACCTCCACACTTCCTCTGGCAGCTCATTCCATACACGCACCACCCTCTGCATTGAAAAAGTTACCCTTCAGGTCCTTTTTAAATCTTTCCCCTTTCACCTTAAATCTACACCCTCTAGTTTTGGAGTAACCCCCTCTGGGAAAAAGACCTTGGCTTTTACCCTATAAATGCCTCTCAGATTTTATAAACCTCAATTAGGTCACCCCCTCAACCTCCGACACTCCAAGGAAAAAAGCTCCAGCCTATTCAGCCTCTCTGTTAACTCAAACCCTCCAGACTCGGCAACATCCTTGTAAATTGTTTCTGCACACTCTCAAGGGTGACCAGAATTGTATGCAGTATTCTAAATGAGATGTGTAGATGAGGAAACATTTGAGGAAGAAGACATACAACATACTGCTGCCACTGAGCATTGGTGGTAGATGTTTGAATGTTTGTGGCTGTGGTGCCAATCAAGCAGGTTGCTTTGTCCTAGATGGTGTCAAGTTGTCAAGTTTTGAGTGTTGTTGGGGAGTATACTAGCACCCTCCTGACTTGTGCCTTGGAGATGGTGGACAGGCTTTGTGGAATCAGGAGGTGAGCTACTCTCTGCAATTTTCCTAGCCTCAAACCTGCTCTGACAGTCACAGTATTTATACAGTGGACCCTTCTGAAGAAGGGTCTAGGCCCGAGGCGTCAGCCTTCCTGCTCCTCTGGTGCTGCTTGGCTTGCTGTGTTCATCCAGCTCTATACCTTGTTATCACAGTATTTATACAGCGAGCTCAGTTCAGTTCCTGGTGAGTGGTAGTTCAGGATATTGATAATGGGGGATTCAGCGATGGTAATGTTACTGAATGCCGAGGAATGATGGTTAGATCTTCCCTTGTTGGCCATTGCTTGGCAGTTGTGTCACAAATCTTACTTGCAAATTGTCAGCCCAAAGCTGGATATTGTCCAGGTCTCACTGCATTTATGATTCGTTTATACATGGATTGTTTCAGTATTGAGGACTTGTGACACTTCTATCTCATATGTTGGGTGACGACATTAAGTTCGGCACATGTTAAGATAGGGTAGATGGGAACAGAAAGTTTTATAGAAAGTTTTACATTAAAAACATTAAATGAAGTTTGGTGCGGACAAGTATGAATCATCCATTTTGGACCCTTAGAAGACTAGATAAGTATATTTTCTAAATGGCAAACAGACATATCCAAGCAGAGATATTTTTAGGGGTCCAAGTACTGCAGTCAGTCATTTAAAATAGTGAATAGGGTACAAAAATAATTTAAAAGCTTTTGAATGTGACTTTATTTCAAAAGGGCTGCAATGCAAAGGTGTGTATCTTATGTTTACAGCTATCAGAGTCTGATCAGACCATATCTGGGAGTCTGTGTTATCTGACACTGGCGCATACACACTGTACACCACTTTAAAGAGCATGCGCATAGATATTGTGGGGATGTGGTGGCAGGTGGTGAGAGGAGGGGGGCAGATGGTGGTGGCAGTGGTCAAGAGATGGGGATTGGGGAGGAGGAGGGGGTGAGTCCTTCACCAATCTTCCATCCTGCCAACCCGCAAGCTCCTGGGTCCTCTTCTGATCTCACTTTGGGGGATTCCCCTCCAGCCCCTCTCCCACCACTGAACATACAGTTCAAAATCGCACGAGCTTCCCTGCCCTCATCGGTACTGTATTTATGCATGGTGTCACATGTAAAGACTACTTGACATTCATGTTTGGCAACGTGTGCCTGCACATTGCAGGTGTCCTCATTTGCACAGTTACCTGCAGTTGGCAGTATCAGTAAACACTGTCCACCCGGAATCTACACTCAGATCTTAGCATTGCATTTCTGGAAGGGTATATTGAGCTTAGACAGAGTGCAGCATATGCTCACCAGAATGTTATTATGTTATTATTTAAAATGTTTAATTTATAGGTAAAACGTTTAAAGACAAACCTTCTATTTCATTAAATATAATAATCATAACTTTAATTGTTCAAATGTTTATGATTAAAAAATTTTAAAATTGATTTGTGTGATTGGGCATTGCTGGCTGCCCATCCCTAGTTGCCCTTGGTGGTGAGCTGTCTTCTTGAACCGCTGTAAGTCCACCTGCCGTGGGTTGAGCCACAATGCCATTAGGGAGGGAATTCCAAGATTTTGACAAAGAGAGGGAAATTATTTTCCTGGTGGAGAATTCAGAACAAGGGTAAAAAGCAGCAGTGGTGGTGTCTAGTGTCACTGCCTTTGAGCTAGGAGGCCCAGGTTTCAATTCTACCTGCACCAGAGTGTAGTAATACCTCTGAACGGGTTAATTAGAAGATATGAAAATAGAGCTCACTCATTCAGGGCTGACATGAGAAAGCACTTGTCTACACACACGTTGCTGGAATTTTTAAACTCTCACCAAAATGTTGAAGCTGGGGCAATTAACAAGTTCAAAAAGAGATTGACACATTTTTGTGTGGCCAGGGTATTAAAAATGGTTGTTTGAATAAATTTGGGAAGATAAAACTGAGAAAAAGATCAGCCATGGTTTAATTGAATTGCAAACCGGATTTGAGGTTTGCTCAAACTCAACCAGTTCAATAGCTTATTCCTATTTCTGTCTTCCTTGAAATGCAGCAATAATTGAATGTTAATAATAACTTGTGTATTTTTAACAACATCTTTCAAACCCAAATTCATTTAAACATTATTACAACTTTGTAAATTTACACATGGGATTTTAATTGCCATAACACAGTATAATTAAGCACCAGAACAATTTTCAGTCAGCTGTCTGTTATGCATACAGAAGGAGTTATACAAGAAATAATTTACCTCAATCAGCAGAGTTCGCTTTTCTTCCCAGTTATTTTTTTCTTCTTCAAGGTCTGTGGTTCGACAAAATAGCTTTGGGCCTTCTAACAGCAACAAAGTAAAGTGAGATTTACTGAGTCACAATCTACTTATAATATTGCCAGTAGAATACCAATGACATAGAAGAGGAAATAAACCAAAACAATGCTGCATCTTAATCCAATAACATCAGGATAACATAGTCTATTTTATATCACGTGTTTTACCTTTCAGCCTTTGGTCATCTTTGAAGAAGAAAAATAGATTTGCGTTCTTCTCAGGAAGTGTTACCACCCTGGAAACAAAAAGTACAAAATAAAAGTCATTGAAGTATGCAAGAATTTAAATATGATTTAAATGACTGTCAGTTGTCATCTAATTGGTTCATTCTCAAGGCAGGGCCTCTACCAAGGTCCACTGTCAACCAACTAGCACATGGTTTGCATACAGTATTAAAAGGAGTTTCCCTTTACATTGATATTCTTGACAACATCCAGCTGAGCATTGTTGAAGCTTTCATCTTGCAAGTGTCTTTTATCACCAGTACTCATACTAAGTAATTACTTAAATAAGATTTCCTAATTTTAATTAAACATGATTAACAGAAGCCTGTAGTCAAGACAGAAATGACAAAACGTAATTTTAAAAATTGTCAAAGACACGATTAAAAACTGAGTCAAATATTATTGATTCTGGAAAGATGAACACAACATAATTCATTTTGCAAACAGTCAAATGTTGTTTTGCAACTATTAGAATTGTAGCCTTGGATTATCTATGCATGTGCGAGTTAAGATTCTAGTCCTGTCACTTTTATTTAGTTTAAGTGGTAAAAACAATAATAGTTGTTGTTGTCCATGTTAAAGTTAATCGTCAAGCTTTATTTATTAATGTTTACTGTTAAAGTTGGTGTTTTTTCTCTCTCATGGAAGTTACAATATTTGTTCAATCTGGTCAGATTAAAAAGCACTGTTGTTGAAGATGCAAAGCTATTTCATTTATGCTAAATGCTTTTTAATAAAAGTTGCAGCAGTATTTCCAATGTATTACAGGAAGGTATCTAGTGATGCTTCATTTGAAAATTTAGTTTTTCATTATTATTAGTGACATAATCCATGCATCACATTGAAACAATTAAGTTATAGAACAAATCAAGTCTGGGTTTTGGTGAGTAGGGTAGATGCAGGTAAAAGTCAAGATTATGCAAATAATAAAAGAAGTACTTTTTGTGTGTAATTTCTAACCCATCTTAGACTGTGTGTTGGATGGGTCTAAAACTCAATACGGAGGTTAATTTCAGATAAATTCTAAAACATTATTGAATGTCAATTGGCTCGTTCTAATCACATTCCTTAATATCAAGGACTTAACAATGTTGACTCAACATTGTTATGTGTCTCAGACTGTACACCATTTTACGTTGGTAAAAATGTTTCAACTAAATTCCAATTTAAATAGCATAAGGTTAGCTTTACTTTTTTTCTGTGCTATTTCCACAATTTTCCAAATCTTTCTCTTCATCATCATTTTCAGAGGAGCTGTCTTGAAATCGAGGATCTTCTTGCCATGGAAATGCTGTCATATTCCTTGATTCAATCTGATAGAGTTCTGAAACAGTAAAAATTGAAAGAAAGAATTGCCACTTTTGAACGCAAAATATTCACTATGCGGCAAAAAATAATTCTTACACTTTGTGTAAGAATTTTCACTACTGTACTATGGCAGATTCCCGAATCAGCTATTTTCCTGGACAGGGCAAGACAAATGGGAGAACTCAAACATTTTCTTTTTGTTGTAAGGATTATACTTTCAAGTAACTACTGTCAGATCTCAACTAATGCCACTGTGAAAATAATTGCTCATAGGCATGTGAATAAGAGAGGACTCTCCAGATACAATGTTATTTCCACAGCCATGTAAACCAACGCATTGAGAACCAACCTGAATATATAAAGTTCAGAAAAGAGGAGGGAAAGCAAATATGTGAAGCAGATGGATGATGAAAGCAAAAAGCAAGTAGCTAACATAAAAGGAAATGAGGTTGTTGACTTGCTCGCCAAGCTGGCTTGTTTTCGTTCAGACGTTTTGCCACCATGCTAGGTGACATCATCAGTGGAGCCTCCGATGAAGCAATGTTATTCTACTCAGCTTGGAATTTATACTGTCCTTTATGGGGAGTACTGTCATTTCCGGTTTTGATCTGTATGGGTTCGTATATGGGGTCCAATTCTATGTGTTTGTTGATTGAAGTATGGGTGGAGAACTATGCCTCTAGGAATTCCTGTGTGTGTCTCAATTTTTGGCTTAGGCGACTGTGGTTACTTTGTCCCAGTTAAATTGATGGCCTTCATTGTCTGAATGTACAGATATTAAGGATTATATCTCCTTAATGTCTGAATGTACAGATTTGACAAAACATATTGATGAAGGTAGAGCAGTGGATGTAGTGTATATGGATTTTAGCAAGGCATTTGATAAGGTTCCCCATGGTAGGCTCATTCAGAAAGTAAGGAGGCATAGGATTGAGGGAAATTTGGCTGTCTGGATACAGAATTGGCTGTCCAATAGAAGACAGAGGATGGTAGTAGATGGAAAGTATTCAGCCTGGAGCTCAATAACCAGTGGTGTTCTGCAGGGCTCTGTTCTGCGGCCTCTGCTCTTTGTGATCTTTATAAAATGACTTGGATGAGGAAGTGGAAGGGTGAGTTAGTAAGTTTGCCGATGACACGAAGGATGGTGGAGTTGTGGATAGTGTGGAGGGCTGTTGTAGGTTGCAACTGGACATGGACAGGATGCAGAGCTGGGCAAATAAGTGGCAGATGGAAATCAACCCAGAAAAGTGTGAAGTGATTCATTTTGGAAGGTCGAATTTGAATGCAGAATACAGGGTTAATGGCAGGATTCTTGGCACTTGGAATATTGTGTTCAGTTCTGGTAGCCTCACTATAGGAAGGATGTGGAAGCTTTGGAGAGGGTGCAGAGGAGATTTATGAAGATGCTGCCTGGACTGGAGGGCAGGCCTTATGAGGCAAGGTTGAGGGAGCTAGGCTTTTCTCATTGGAGCGAAGGAGGATGAGAGGGTGACTTGATAGAGGTGTACAAGATGATGAGAGGCACAGGTAGAGTGGATAGCCAGACACTTCTTCCCAGGGCAGAAATGACTGTTACAGCATTACGGGGGAGGGGCATAATTTTAACGTGATTGGGGGAAGGTATAGGGGAGATGTCAGAGGTAGGTTTTTCACATACGAGTGGTGGATGCATGGAATGCACCATCAGCAATGGTAGTAGAGTCAGATACATTAGGGACATTTAAGCAACTCTTGGATAGGCACATGGATGATAGTAAAATTAAAGATATGCAGGTTAGTTTGATCTTAGCTTAGGATAATAGGTTGGCACAACATCGTGGGCCGAAGGACCTGTACTATGCTGTACTGTTCTATGTTCTATATCCATAGCAAAAGGCTGATAGGAGGACAGTAGAGTGGAATAGGGGCCAAAAAAAGGAAGATTAACACTGCAGGTGCCAAGAGGCCTGGCTGTGATGTCAAATACTTTGCATCTGCCTTTCCTACAAGGAGGTCATGGCAAAAGGAAGGAGAGTTTAAAATTGATACGGAGTTGGTAATGGATAAGCTGTTGGTACTTCAAGTTGATAAGACACCAGGACTGGTTAAGATGCATCTAAGGATATCGAAGGAAATGAGAGTAGAAATTGCAAAGGCACTGACAATCATCCTTCAAGCTTCCTTGTATTCAGGAAGGTTTGGAAAATTGTACACCCTTGTGCCTTTGTTCAAAAAAAAAGGTTCTAAAGACCAGCTAAGTAATCACAGACCAGTCAGTTTAATTTCAGTGGTGGGGAAGCTTCTAGAAACAATTATTTGAGCTAGCTTTGATAGTCATATGGAAGAATGTGGATTGATTTGAAAGAATTAGAATGAATTTGTTCAAGGAAATTGCATATAACTAACTTGCTGGAGGTTTTGAAGAGGTAAGAGTGAAGCATGATGAGGGGAAGGCTGTTGATATGGTGCATACAACTTTCAAAAGGCATCTGAAAGGTGCAATGCAACAGACTTGTGATGAGTATTGTAGACAAAACGGATGGAGTAAAAGGGAAAGTAACAATGTGGATGCCAAACTCGCAGAGGTATAGAAACAGAGTAATGGTTAATGAGTATTTTTCAGGTTGTAAGAAGGTTTGCAGTATAATGTTCCAGGGGTTGGTATGGAGCCCTTGCTTTTTGCATTATAGAGTCAAAGTTTTACCTCATGAAAAGGGACCCTTTGACCTATCATGTCTGCATTGGTCATCAAGCAACTGTCTATTCTTGTTCCATTTTCCAGCACTTAGCCCATAATGTTTCAAAAGTATAGAAGGCTATGATAGTTTTTGTCACTTCACCACTCTCTGGGTGGAAAAAAAATAAATCTCCTCTAAACCGACTGGCACTTTAACTTAAATCTTATGCCCCCTGGTTACTGATTCCTCTCCTAGGGAGAAAGGTTTCTTCCTATCTATTCTATCTCAGCTCCTCATAATTTTGTACACCTCAAATCAGGTCCGCCTTAGCATTTTCTGCTGTGCAGGTAACAACCCATCTCATCTCTCTCATAGCTAAAATGCTCCAGACCAGGCATCATCCTGGTGAATCTCCTTGCACACTCTCTCCTGCAATCACAAATTTCCTACAATGTAGTGACCAGAACTGAACACCAGCTGTGGCCCAGCCAATATCTTAAACTACTCCATCATAACTTCCCTGCTTGTATTCTCTGCTGTCTCAACAATAAAGTTGGGAAAGGTTTAAATTAGTGTGGCAGGGGGATGGAATAGGGCAGCAGATGCAGAAATGGAGGGAGAGGTAGAAATGAGGGCAAACATGACTAAGAACAGGTAGGAAAATGCTGTTGAGAAGAGCAGGGGAGGTGGTCTGAAATGCACGTATTTCAATGCAAGAAGTATAATTAGCAAGGTGGATGAACTGAGAGCTTTGGTTAGTGGAACTATGACATTATTGCAATTATGGACACTTGTCTGGAAGAGGGACAGGATTTGCAGCTGAAAGTCCCAGGATTTAGATATTTCAGATGTGATAGAAAGGAATGTAAAAGGGATGGGGGCATTGCATTACTGGTAAAGGAGTATCTCCCAGCTGTACTGAGGGAGGATAGATCAGAGGACTCATGCAGTGATGCAGTACGGATAGAACTCAGGAATAGGAAAAGTGAAATAACAATGCTGGGGTTATGCTACATGTCTCCCAACAGCAAATAGCGGACAGATTTGTGGACAGATTTTGGAAAGATGTAAAAAACAACAGGGTTATTGTGATGGGTGATTTTAACTTCCCCTGTATTGACAGAGACTCACGTCGTGCCAGGGCCTTGGATGGAGCAGCATTTGTAAGGACCATTCAGGAGGGCTTCTTGACACAGTATGTAATCACTCCAACCAGGGAAGGGGTTATACTGGACCTGGTTTTGGGAAATAAGCCCGGCCAGGTGAGTGAAATTTTCAGTTGGGGAATTTCAGGAGTAGTGACCAAAATACCGTGAATTTTAAGTTATTCATGGATAGGGATAACAGCAGCTTGCGGGTTAAGGTGTTAATTGGGGGAAAGCGAACTATAACAACATTAGGCAGGAATTGCAGGGTGGTGATTGGAGGCAGCTGTTTGAGAATAAGTCCACATTGGACGTGTGGGACTATTTCAAACAACAGTTGACAAGAACTCAGGGGCGGCACATTCTTGCAAGAATGAAGGATAGGTGTGACAAGTTACTTGAACCTTGGATGATTAGGGATGTTATGATCATGGTCAAAAAGAAAAAGGAAGCATACCCAAGGTCTAGGAGGATGGGAACTAACAAAGCCCTTGAAGTATATTAGTAAAATAGGAAAGAACTTCAGCAAGGAATTAGAAGGGCTAAAATAGGTCATGAAAACTGTTAGCAAAACAGGATGAAGGAGAATCCCAAGGCTTTTTATACATAAATAAAAAGCAAAGGGTTGCAGGGAAAGGGTTGGCCCACTCAAGTACAAAGGATGGAATGTATGTGTGGAGTCAGAAGAGGTAAGTGAGATCTTAAACCAAGGAGAAGGAACTGGTGGAGAATGATCTCAGGGAAGGGAGTATCACATTTCTAAGCTAAGTTGCAATTAAAAAGTAAGAGATGTTGTGCATTTTAAAAAGTATTAAGTTATACAAGTCCCCAGGTCCTGATGGGATCTATCTCAGAATATTGAGGAGGCAAGAGAACAAATTGATGGAGCATTGACAGACATCTCTGTATCCTCTTTGGTCACAGGTGAGGTCCCACAGAACTGAAAAATAGCCAATGTTGTCCCATTGTTAAAAAACGGTAACAGGGATAATCCATGAAATTACAGGCTCGTGAGCCTCATATTAGTGAGAGGGAAATTATTGGAAAGAGATTCTCAGGGACAAGATCTATAAGTATTTAGAAGCAAATGGACTGATTAGCGATAGATGGCATGGTTTTGTGCAGTAACTTGATCAAGATTTTTTTGAAGAGGTGTCGAACATGATTGATGAGGGAAAAGCGGTTGATATTGTCTACATGGACTTCAGTAAAGCCTTCGACAAGGTCCCTCATGGCAGACTGGTGCAAAAGGTGAAGTCACGTGGTATCAGGGTAAGTTGGCAAGATGGATACAGAACTGACTTAGTCATAGGATACAGAGGGTAATGGTGGAAGGATGCTTTTCGGAATGGAGGGGTGTGATTACTGGTGTTCCACAGAGATCAGTGCTGGGATCTCTGCTGTTCGTGATCTACATAAATGATTTGGAGGAAAATGTAGCTGGCCCAATTACTCAGTTTGCAGACAACACAAAGACTGGAGAACTTATGGACAGTGAGGAGGATTGTCAGAGGATGCAGCAGAATATAGATCTGTTGGACACATGGGCAGAAAAATGGCAGATGCAGTTTAATCTGGCCAGATGTGAGGTGATTCATTTTGAAAGGTCAAGTACAAATGGGAATTATACAGTGAATGGCAGAACCCTTAGGAGTATTGATATACAGAAAGATCTGGGTGTGCTGGTCCACAGATCACTGAAGGTAGCCGCACAGGTAGATAAAGTAGTAAAAAAGGCCTATGACATGCTTGCCTTCGTTGGAAGAGGCATTGAGTATAAGGATAGGCAAGTTGTGCTGCAGCTTTATAGAACTTCAGTTCGGCCACACTTGGAATATTGTGTACAGTTCTGATCACCACACTACCAGAAGGATGTGGATGCTTTGGAGAGGGTACAGAAAAGGTTTACCAGGATGCTGTGTGTGTGGGGGATTTTAGCTATGAAGAAAAGGTTGGATAGACTGGGTTTGTTTTCACTGGAACGCAGGAGGTTGAAGAGTGACCTGATGGAAGTTTATAAGGTTGTCAATGGCATGGATAGAGCGTAAAGTATGAGGCTTCTTCCCAGGGTAGAGGGGTCAATTATTAGGGATCACAGGTTCAGGTCCGAGTTGAAGGAGGGAAGTTTAAAAGAGATGTGGAAGGCACGTTTTTCACACAAAAGGTGGTGAGTGCCCGGAACACGTTGCCAGAGGAGTTGGTGGAAGCAGACTCAGTAGCAACATTCAAGAAGTACCTGGATGAATACATGAATAGGAAGGGAATAGAGGAATAGAGGGATAGAGGGATACGGATCCTGTAAGTGAAGACAGTTTTAATATGGAAGGGCAAAATGTGCCGGCGCAGGCTTGGAGACCAATACCTGTGCTGTGTTATTCTTTGTTCTAAAGGCAAGTATCCCATATACCATTTCAAGCCCCCTCTTCACTTTCCTAATCTTTTTTAAACTAACCCCCTGCACTTTCTAATGCCTCTAGGGCTTCTGGTGTTCTGATACATACATATATATAAATGATCTTGGTACATAATAGACAATTGCAAAGTTTGCAAGAAACACAAAACTTGGGAGAAGTGGAAACTGTGAGGAGGACAAAATGGAACTTCAAAAGAATATTGATGCTTGATGGAGTGGGCTGATAGCTGGCAGATGAAGTTCAATGTGAAGAAGGTTCCAGTGTTACAAAGAATGTAGAGATAAAACCAAGGGTAATACTCTAAAGGGTGTGCAGGAGCAGAGAAACCTGCGGGTATATTTACATTAGTCATTAAATGTAGCAGGAGAGGTACATAGTGCTGTTAATAAAGCATACAGTACTCTAAGCTTAATAAACAGGGGCACACAGTACAAAAGCAGGTTATGATGATCCAATGTGCAGGGTCACAGAGCAAAGACAAGTGATTGGCACAAAGTTAAAATGCTCAAAAACTGGTGCTGAAACAATGGGCTGAACAACCTCGTTCTCCATCGTAGCAATTTTGTAATGCTGTGATACAAACATGTCAGTGTTTCAAATGACAGAAATTATTTTCAACAGTGCAGACATTGCAGCTGTAAGGACAATGTCAGATTTTACAATCATAACAACTATTAAACTGAAAAAAAACTTTTTGCATCATTATGCAAACAATTAAATTTGGAAAATCAGTTGATACTGTTGCTGATTTCTACCCCCTCCACAGTGTGTGCCATTGAAGTCCTACTGGAAGAAAATCTTTCGAAATCACTATAATAATCATGAACTTTAACTTTACGCTAGTCTTGTTCTAAAAATGCTTGGAACCATCATAATTATTACTGAGCCACCTCTTTGGCTCTGGAGAACTTAATTCATATTTGTAGATTGTCAAATCTCACTACTATGCCCAATTTTAAAAAATAATATAAAACATTTTCAAATTGCAGCTTCTTCTTTAAACCTGTGATAAGAGCATGATCGTTATTTTGCTTAATGATTAAGTAAAAGATAAACACTGCTTTCTGCTTCCATATTTGCTGAGAGAATTCTTAAATAGTCTTGGCTGCTTATCTTCTTTTTGACTTATGTTGCTGAATGTCTGACCATCTCCTTAAGCTGAAGTAGGGATGAAAATTATTTTGTCAAGGGAAAACCTGTGTCACCAAGATCACTAGATTTTTGTGCAAAGTTTTCTTTGAGATTAAGGTGCTTTCATATTATCACTGGCATCAAAATTCATGCATGTATCAATAGCATGAATTCATAAATAATAATATTCAATCCATAGTCTGATAGTTGTAGAATATATATTCTTAACTAACATACCTATTCTGAATCTTCTCCTTGAATTTCCTTCATTGTACTCTCCAAACCTTCTCAAGCTTTACACCTCTGATTCACTGCTTGGTATACCTTCCTTTAATACATTATCAATAAAAGAGAGCATTCGCGATTTTCTCTTATATTCTGGGTGTTATTTTGCTTTGCATTCTTCCTATTGAACAAAGCTTGGCTATGCTTTTTGTTAGATGTTCAATATTCTGTCCAACCTTCTATTCCTATCCACTGACCAGTCTGCTTCAAGTGTTTTGGAGTGTTTTATTCCAAACGAAACAAAGTAAAATGGTCTCAATTCAATGTGCATTGATTTCTCATGCAAACTGCACAAGTTTTGGTAGATTTTTGTAGATACTGCTCCCCTCCTCAAAATTCTTGAGCTTCGAGAAAGGTCCATTCAAGATGGAAAATAGCAAATTCAATAAATTCAAAAAGGGACAGAGACAGAAAGAAGCAAACTACAGGCCAGTTAACTTGACATCTGTCATAGGAGAATTGCTGAAACCTATCATAAAAGTTATAGCAAGGCACTTAAAAAAAAATCTTCAGGCAAATAAGGCACAGACAACGTGGTTTTGTGAAACAGAAATCATGTTTGACAAATTTATTGGAGTTCTTTGAGGAACTAACAAGCAATGTGGATAAAGGGAAACTTGTGGATGTATGGTACTTAAATTTCCAGAAGGCATTTGACAAGGTGCCATAACAAAAGTTATCATGCAAAATAAGAGTTTCTGGTGTACAGGACAGAATATTGGCATGAAGAGTTGATTTGTGAGCTGGTAGAAAACGGAGTGTAGAAAAAGAGAAAGAGAAATGGGATCATTTTCAGTTTGAGAAGACATGATAAATGATACATCCCAGGTTCAGTATTGGAGCCGAAATGATTTATAATTCATATCAATGACTTAGCATGACTGCTAAATTTTAATGACAAAGATATATCGGAAAGAAAGTCTCTGGAATAGGACAAAAAATTGAAAAGAGCTATCACATCATCAGAGTTGACAACTTAGACAGATTTTTGTGCCTGACCAGAAGGAGTTTTATTGGATTTCTAACCTACGAATATATCTTGGGTCACTCAAAGCTGAAATTTGCTATCAAATGCAAGATATTCTTAACCTTGAAACTGGTTAGCAAATATGTTCAAAATAATATTATCAATGCAAAATAAACACAAACATTTCTTGTCTGTTGTTCCAACAGTAGTCATAAGAAACAATTTTACCTGGTTTTTGACTGTTAGAAGTTGCAGCCTCAAAGAATGAAAATGTAAAACCAGCCGAATCTTCTTTTGGATTACTATGAGAAATGCAGTCAGCAGTGTGCTGGGTGGCCTGAGTCTCAGTAGATTCAACAGGTTGATCTTGAACCTGACTATTATCTTTCACGTCCCATTCTACTTCTTTTCCTTTGGTCCCAGAAGCAAACATTTCTTTCAAGTTCACATTAACATCATAATAGATTTCTGCTGATACTTCTGGTAGCTTTTCAGCTTCTTCTCTCAGTTTTCTTCTTTCTTTTTTGCTGCAATGTTTATGAAATAAGTTAAAACATAAACTTGATGAATTTGTCCAAGATATACACCAAATTATCTTTCATTCATGATATACAAACCTCAAATCAGGTATCTAGAGTTAATGAGTATTCATGTTCAGTTTCTAACACACAGTCTTGAATCATGCATTAAAAAAAATCTGTTGACCTCAATGGGGCTGCTGAGGCACTTTCCACATGTTTAGCAGACTGGACTCTCTTTGGCAGTAATGACTGCTTGCCTTGGGGAGGAACATGTAAGATTACGCAAAGATTTTGACAAATTGCACGTTGCTGATGGTTTCCCATATCAGATGACCAGAAGTGCCAGAAAAGTAATTAACTGCATTCTGACAAAAAAGTGACTAACAGGAGCTTCACGGCTGCTGACTGAACTGCTGAGTATTTCCAGCATTTACAATTTCTGTAATTAACGGTTGTAATTGTTTTTCAACATTTCAACGTCATAAGGCACCTATAAGTATAATTTCTAACAGGGAAAAGTAATTAAGAATTTTTGAAAACAGAATCTTAAAGGTAGTTTTATTCCCAATATTTGCCCTCTTCTTTATCGACTTATGAAGGATATTCTCTCATTTTTCCTGATAAAGTTTCTATCTAGTTTCAGCATTGATTTCTTTCCTATTTCTCATTGTCTCCTTCATCTAATACCGAGTAATTACATTAATTGGCCAAAATAACTATACACAAAACATCTGTTAACTTTATCTCATGGGGGATGACAGAGGTGGAAACATGGCACTATAATAAAGCCACTAATAAAAGCAAATGCACTTGTCACATCACAGAAATTGTTGCAAATTGCTTGAATGAGTATACCAGAAATTTCATTAACTGATATACAATAATAAGAGAGTAGGTATTTGAAAACTAGGGGACATTTGAAGGCATTACTGTTCGTGGTGGAACCACGATAATCAAGGAAGCAAAAAGATGCAGAGATTTCAGCCTTTTACTTATGAAGGAGTTTATAGGGAGAGGAAGGGACAAGTAAATGGGAGGACTTGTCTAAGTTTTAAAATCATGGCAAATGGTACTTTGTGTGTAACAATGTTTCAAATTGGCACAAATGTACAGAGGACATAAAATACACAGTCATCCAGAAGAATACTATCTGATGATGCTGGAGGTATTAAAGAATAGTAGAAAATCGAGTTGAGGTTTCAAAGATTGTTGCAACTCATTACAACTTTAATATGTGGGCAAACAGCATTTTTTACATTGTGCTCCATTGATTAATTTGAAGTGAATTATCCTTTATAATCAAAAAAATGTGAAAGTCTGAAAATCGTAGCTGTAGCAAATCATGCAGGGAATTGTATCTTTGACTCTGAAATGCACTATGTTGTTAAACACAGACGCAAGTAAAAACAATTCTTCTATTGAAAGCATCTTCAGCTGCAGTTTTTCCTTCATGTGGATATTACTGTGGATAATGCCAACGAATATTGCCAACCCTAAACATCTTTGTGAAACTCTTGAATAGATTGACTGGGAGGGATGAAAAAAGTAACAATCCTATTTGCTCAAATCCAACTCACAACCACAAAGCTTCCATACATTTCTATTCTGTAGCATAATATTTTGGATCCTCAGTGCGTTGTCATACACACAATTTTTATTTAATTCAGCAGGAAAGACTAACTCCACAATGTTGTACCAGTGCATCAAGGCTGTATGTTATCACGAAATACTGCTTTTTTCAAATATCACAATTGAATGACAACATTGTTAAACATTCTGAACTGACACAAAGGAAAACTACAGAAATGCAAAGTTACACTATTATATTTGAAAATAAAATGGATGGCTGATTAATATATAATTATAGATTATCATGAATTACATCATATGGCTTTAGTAAAAAAAAAAATACCTTTTTGGCTTGGATTCATCTATCCTGCTTTCATAGCATATGTGATCTTCTCTTGTAGGATCGTATCGCAGAGCAGAAACATCTCTGAAAAGAAACATTTCGAAGCAAAGTACTGATAGACATCCAATTTCAAATATAGCAGATACTTTTGCAATGTGAGATTTGAAGCACTTGTAATATTAGTATCAGCAAATATGGGAGTTAAATGCATAACTTTAGTACAGATTATGTAGAATGATAAAATATAGTAGCTGCAACATTTTAAAGGAAAAGTGCTGGTCTGAATATAAAGATGTAGAGTGCGGAACCGAATCTTCATGTCGATATGAAGCTCGTACATAATTTTGAAGTACACTGTGGAACCTAACTTCAATGTAAATGAAGCTGAGGTTAAAAATGCCCAATACACAATGGATAACTGAACCACTTTATAAATCTATTGCAATTTTTAATCTTTTCAGAAAACTGGGTGCTTCCGTTCATGTTCTCAGAAGACGTTGAGGAACAAAACTCTGTTTGCCAGACTGCAATTCACTGCCTGCAATTTTATAGAGATTTTGATGAAAATACCTCCCATTTTGCACTTACCTTACCACTAAATTTTATCAATGGGTTAAGAGAGAAATTGTGTGACATTGGTCACTGACTAGCAGAATTATCATTTCTTAAAAGCTAATCTGAAATCAGTCATAAAGGAAAAGCTGTGATTTAGTTTATGAAATAAATCATTTTAGGCAGTGACCAGTTCTACATGTACGTACAAATTACACTCATTTAATGAATACAAACTTGAATTTTTTGAATCGCGCTTGTCCTTTCCTGAGTTCAGACTTTTCATCATCAACTTCGATGACACTCTGTAAGATGTTCAGTGTTCTCTTTTTTTCATCAACAAACTCTTCATCCTCAGAATTTTGGCCTTTATCTGTAACAGATTCTTCTGCAATATAAAAAGAATCCTTCTACAAGATGCTGTTGAAAATAAAGTGGTCTTCATCTGGCATTCAAAGACATGACAAGGATTAATAGATAGACATTAGGAGGTTGAACTCTGGCTAGACATAGGTCTTCATTTTCACTCTGCATTCCCTCATTTCCTGACTGGGGTGCTGCTCTTCCCATCACCACCCAAACATAATATTGCTGCTCTTTGATGATCTTAGATTTCCATAAATCTACGTCTCCAATGCTTTGTAATACATGCAATTGTGAAATTCAGTGATAACTATGTGCCCCGACCAACCGTTGCATGTTTCCAGACAAGAAATGGAATTGCTGGCATTCACAAAACTGTCATTTTCTCATTGTCTTATACAAAGTCTACAGTGCAGAGCATCTGATACATCAGATGTTCCCTACAGAAGGTTGGAAAGAAGATATGGTATCACAGCTTCACACTGTGGTGCCGTTCCTTTCTGTGGCAAGGATCTGCTTCAGATATTCTTTCCAAGATTTTCCACAGCAGACATCACAAATCTCTGTTTCCCAGGACTGAATTTCTCAAGCAGCATTGCACGTACATTTTTTTGCCAAGGCACTTTGACGAATATACTTACCTTAAATTCAGTCATTAGTAAACTGGTCAAAGACTTGTATTTCATAAAACTTCATTGTAATCACCTGTATTTTCATCTTCACTTTCCAAGAATCGTTTATCCATGCGAAATCTTTCATCAGTTCCAAATCGTGATTGTAAGTCAAACAGCTAGCAAAGAAAGCATGAATAACTTTGAAAACATTGTCATTTAAAGTTTCTAAAATTAAAACATACTCAAGAGCTGACAATATACTTCTGCTCCACTTCACTTCAATTCAGTTTGCACCTCTTTCGACAAAATCAGGCAAATGCCTTGGGAGAACGTTATGGCTACAGTCTATTTTATTGCTGTGGCTAATTTTTTTTTTAAAACATATTACATGATTTGTCCAAATGGATTTCCTGTAGACATCAATCAAAAATATGATTTGAACTATGGTGGGATGCAACCAAAAAAAATTATGCTTTGAATTGTTCCACTGATGTGTGCAAACTGAATTGCTCGAAATACCCTTAATTTCAGCAATGTTGCTATTCTCCTGCAACGAACAGGCACAGGACAATGGCCACTCAACTAGACCAGCAAGAGAAGAAAATTTACTTAAAATAAAGTCTTTGGATATCAAAACAAGTAAGAAAATGTGGTTGCAATTACTTGCAAGATACATACTTGCAAGCATAAATAAACTGAATTTTAATTCCATTTCGGCGCAAAGAATAGTTACTGTTAATTTGGCTCAGGTTATCTTTTCAGAACTATATCCTGAAATCAAAGCAATAATGACCTTATTACTATGTGAGGCACTTATTTTGGCATAAGTTGACAACATTTAGTAGTTCAAATTTTCAATCCATCTGCAAAGCGATGTACCAAAAATATATTCAGACAAAATTTTTTACATTCAACATCCTTACCTTCTGACCAGCTTTTCCTTCAAATTGAGGTTTAATTTTGAATCTTCCACTGTAATCTTCATCACTGTCATCTTCATTGTCCTCCTCCTCACTATCAAACAGTTTCCCAATGGTTCTTTTTCCAAAAGCCTAAAGGTAAATTTAGAAGAATTTGAAATTCTTTTAGCTTACAATAATGCAATCCACTATCCTGCTGCAAGTTACCTGGAACAGATAAAGACACTTGAAAAGTTGAGTATCTAGTAACATAAGGACAGGTAAAATTGAAAATCAAAGAGCTGATTTTTAAGAATGCTGGACTAGAAGTTCTGGAAGATACCTTTTTTTTTTTACAAGGCTAGTAGTAGGGACACAGAACCTTTTACACAACTATCAAGCTTTGAAAAGCATCAAAATTAGTACAAAAATGCAATGGGTCAGGTCTGTATTCAGTATGCATATCCAGTGTGGCCAATTACCACTGCATCGGTCTACACTCAATCAATAGTAAAATGACAGAAGGTGTCATCAACAGTATTACTAAACAGCACCTGCTCAGCATTAATTCATTCACCCAGTTTGGGTTCTGCAGGGCTGCTCAGCTCCTGAACTCATTAAAGCCTTGGTTCAAACATGGACAAAAGACTTGAATTCCAGAAATGAGGTGAGAGTGATAGACCTTGACATCAGGCCGCATTCGACCCAGTGTGGTATCAAGGAGCCCTAGTAAAACTGGAATCAACAAATATCAGGTGGCAAACACTCCACTGGTAGGAGTCATACCTGAAATAAAGGAAGATGGCTGTGATTGTTGGAAGTCAGTCATCTCAGCTCTAGGACATTTCTGCAGAAGTTCCTGAGGACAGTGCCCTAAGCTTAACCATCTTCAGCTGCTTCATCAATCATAAGATCTGAATTGGGATGTTCACTGAAGATTGCACCATGTTCAGCACCATTCGTGACTCTTCAGATATTGAAGCAGTCTGTGTTCAAATGCAACAAGAACAGGGCAATATCCATGCTTGGGCAGACAAGTGGCATGTAACATTCATGTCATACAAATGCCAGAAATGATTATTTCCGATAACAGACAGACAGACAGACAATCTAATCACCACCACGGACATTACCATCACTGAATCCCCCACTATCAACAGCCTGGGGTTATGATTGACCAGAAACTCAACTGGACTCACCACATAAACACAGTTCCTACAACAGCATGTCAGAGGCTAGGAATACTGTAACGAGTAACTCACTTCCTGACGACCAAAGCCTGTCCATCACCTACAAGTCATGTCAGGAGTGTGATGGAATACACCCCACTTACTTGGAGGAGCGTAGTTCCAACAATATTCAAGAAGCTTGACACCATCCAGGACAAAGCAGTCTGCTTGATTGGCATCACATCCACAAGCATCAACTCCCTCCATTTCTGATGCTCAGTAGCAGCAGTGTGTACTATCTACAAGATGAACTGCAGAAATTCACCAAAGATTGTCTGAAACCAGCTTCCAAATCCACAACCACTTCCATCTAGAAGGACAAGGACAGCAGATACATGGGAATACCTCAACCTGCAAATTCCTTTCCAACCCACTCACCATTCTGACTTTGAGATGTGTCCCATTCCTTCACTGTTGCTTGGTTAAAATCCCGGAATTCCCTCCCTAAGGGCATTGTGGGTCAACCTATAGCATGTGGATAGCTGCGGTTCAAGAAGGCAGCTCACCACTACCTTCTCAAGGGCAACTAGGGATGGGCAATAAATGCTGGCGAATATACTGCTCTTGTTCTTCTTTGGTGGTAGGGACTGCTAGTTATAAGGTGTTGTCAGAGGAGCCTTCATGAGTCTTTATGCAATGCACCCTGTAGATGGTACACACTGCTGTCATGTGCAATGGTGGTGAAGAAAGTCAATGTGGAAAGTGGTGAACTGGTGGTCAATTAAGTGAGCTGCTTTATCCAGATAGTGTTAAGTTTCTTGGGTATTGTGGAACTGTATTCATCAAGCGAAGTGGAGAGTGTTCCATCGTACTCTAGTCTGTGCCTTTTAAATGGTGGATAGGCTTTAGGAAGATGAAACGTGATTCACTACAGATTTCCTAGCCTCTGACCTGCTCTTTTAACCACAGTCATGGTTAGCAGTAGTTTTACAATTGGTCCAATTCAGATCCTGGTCAATGGTATCTCTCAAAATGTTGCTTGTGAGGGATTCAGTGATAGTAATACCATTGAAAGTCAAGTGTTGATGGTTACTTTATCTCTCCGAGATGGTTTGGCACTTGTGTGATGCGAATGTTACTTGCTACTCAGCAGATGGACACGGACTGTTTCAACATCTGAGGTGTCCAAAAGGTGATGAATATTGTTCAATTATCAGCAAATATTCCCACTTCTGACTTTATAATGGATGGAAGGTTATGAAGGAGTAGCTGAAGATGGCTGGACCTAGATCACTACCCTGAGGAACTCCTGTAGTGATGTCCCAGGGCTGAAATGGTTGACCTCCAAGAAACACAACTATCATCCTTTGTACTATGTGCCACTCCAACCCACAGAGAAATTTCTTCTTGATTCTAATTGACTCCAGTTTTGCCATTGCTCCATTATGCCATACTCAGTCAAATACTGCCTTGATATTCAGAGCAGTCCCTCTTACCTGACCTTTGCTTGTTATGTGATGTACTTTAGAGCTGACTTCTCTATTCACAAGGTCACTAAAACCCACTCGGCCATCTCCTAACTATTACTGCTGAATTTTCCCAAATTTTTTCAGCAAAACATTCTATCTTCATTCTTGTTAAAAAAAAAGTCACTTACAACTTTATAAATACCAACTGTTGCGCCCCTGGTCAACATTTTTCAAAATATTTCAAAAGGACTTGATTTCTGAATTACTTCTGCTGTCCATTTGTGATGTCCCACAAACACAATATACCTATTTTTCACCTCTCACGCTTGGCCTTAGTTAGAGTGCCCCCATATTCTGTCCTTTTAAGTCCAAAGGGTGCTAAATTCAACTTATGTAGCACAAATCTGCTTAGATCAGTGATCTTTCCTCTGGTATTGTCCCTCTTGCTTTAAAGAGGTCAGAATCATCCTCTGCATAAAGCAAAACATTCTTTACTCTGCTGTTCTTGAGAATTTGCCATATCTTTGCCTCTCTTTCTTTTCCACAGTTTCTGAAAATATTATGTCTCCCAAATCATCATTCTTGCAAATCCATGTTTGATTCTCTACAGTTCCAGTCCTGGTACAGCACTAAAATAAACCCAGGCCAAAATACAGAAGTCATTTTCTGTGATTATGGTGCATCGACTCTTCTCAACTTTTCTTCTGTTTTTGATAAAGTTGACCACAATCCCGGTGTTTAATTGTCCAGCTCAATGTAACTGACCTAACTTGGTTTCACTCAGCAATCCAACTGTATCACTCATTAAATCTTCTGACCCAAGCTCTTCAGCTATCTGTTTTGACAGTCCCACATTTTGCTTTGCCTCCATTTTTGTCCGATTGTCCTCTGTGGGTTATTACGATATCTGTCTTTGTTAAAGATACTTTTTAATTTTCAGTTTTGTTGTTGTACCTCAGCAAATGAGCAATGAACTTGTCAAGAGAAAAGAAAGGGAAAAATCATTCCTTGAGAAATCAATCCAACGCATCTTAACTTGAATTAAAGAGGCCCAGTTGAATGACTGCAGGAAGTTTCAACGCAGTTCTTCAGACCCAAGCCACATAATGTTTCATAATTCAACATAACTGGCAGACTCAGGACTCAAAAATGGCTTTTGTGAGAAATGGTAAAGGTATTAAATATGCCACAATGGGATTATTTTGAGGTCTAAAGTACATCGTTATGAAAAAATGCATTAGACTATTTCACAAAGTCACACGTGAACCATGGCAGCTGGATGCTGAGATTTACTGATAACTTTCAGAGTAGCAAACCCATTAAGTAGTTACGAAAAATATGAGTTGAATACATAACAAAAGCTTACTTCTGCAACATGTAATTTTCTTTGACTTTCTGCGCCTTCTTCTGCGGATATGTTTGTGCCTTCTTTAAAATTTTCTCCAACATCTTTAAACAGCGCCTTGTTTTCACTCTCTTCTTCAAAATCAAAGACGATGTGCTTCCTTTTGTCAGGTTTCTGACTGTCCTATAGCAATATATGTATATAAAATAAAAAACTATTTTGTCCAAAGGCTAAAGAGATAAGAAGGTAAAATGATGAGACTGTAAGGTATCAATAAGTTAAAAAGAAAATTAGCAATTATTTACTTCAAAAAATCTCTAAAATTGTATTAGATCCACCTTCAAGGTGGGATCAACAAGTAATGCACAAATATATTTTTAAGCATGTGGACTATTATTTCTAATTCTTGCTTTTATACGTTGTTGATTTTTCTTAAGTGCTTAATTTAATTCTTTTAATTCAATTTCCTCCCTTTCATGATGTTTACTGCCCACGTACCCTTTCTCACCCAGACAATTGTATAAATTGTATAAGGCAAGGAGGTAACAATCCTTTCAAGCTGTTTGACACCTCTGCAGATGGCTTGGTTGGAATCAAGTAACTAGTACATGTGGAATCAGTGGGGAGGAATTCACGCAAGTCTATTTCTTTATTCTGAGCCAGCGCATTCGTGAAGACCGGTGTTATGCTGTTGCCTGGAGACATGTTTTGCATGCGTAGGAGTATACAGCAAAATCTATGGGACAAATCATGCTTTGGTGCTAGTTTTAAAAATTAGGTTCAATTCATAGTTATGTATGCTGTGATTATAAATACGCAGGAAACCACTGAAATGACTGGTAACAGACTTAAGAGTAGTTAGCAATTAACACAATCCAATAAAAGGTATTCTAGGATCACAGAGCAAGCAATCTGAAAGAGAAAATAGTGTGAAGAATTTATGAAGTTAATATCTTATAATTAAGAAGAAAATTGAACAATTCTAACATACCAAATTTGACAGGGCTCCTTGAATGAGTTTCTTCTGCATCTCTGTTTCTTTCTGTCTTTCATGTAATGCAGCCAGCCTCTTTTGATTGTCCAATAAATGCTTCTCCAAATTTCGAGGAGTTCCTGCAGCTAAACTACAAGCAGTATTCTCAATCGATAAACATTTTTTAACACTTTTATCAATTCCAGCTTTACATTCTCTCTTTTCATTCACGTGACTGGTTTCAACAACTGGTAAAGTTGAGGCTTCAATCTTCGGAGAGTCAGTTTGCTTAAAATGCACCATTTTTTGGTTTGTAGCATTTACTGCCTCACTACAGTCTCCACAATCACTGCATTTTACTCCATTTAGTAATTCAGAGTTATCCAAGTTTTGTGTTATAGATTTCAACTTTTCTGTTTTATTTTCAGAAATACCAAAGTTAAGTTTGTGGCTAGGAATGGACATGGTGGGTGTGTTGAATTGAAGAGATTTTGTTCCTTTAAATGGTGGTGGTTTGAAATCACATTTCTCATCACTATCAGAATCAGAGGGTACCACATTCTTGGTTCGATGAACTTTTTTTTTGTCAACAGCGGTGGTTTCAGAATCACTGCCTGATTCTTTATCCATCTTCCTCTTCACTTTCAAAACTAATTGGTCACTAATTATTTTACCTCCCTTGTTATTGTCTTCCTTTGGCTTGAACAGAGACACTATCTTTTTTGAATGAGATGGGTTAAACAGCTGTTTTTCTGGTATCATTTCACAGTCAGTGCTGTCCTCATCCTGAATAGCTGATACAATGCTATTAGGTACGGTATTTTTCATCAAGGCAGGCATGCCCTGGGAAATTTCTGTACCTGAAGCTGAAGGCAATGAGTTTACTAGGGAAGGTTGTAATGAGATACTTTTAAGTAAGTTCAAATCACTTTGTGATTTGTCGTTTTCTTTCTTAGCTTTGGAGGAACTGTTTGCCAATTGTTCAAGATCAGTTAGCGATAAGTCAACTCGGTAACAGCTACTCATCATTTCTTCATAATCAGAATCCAAATTGGATTCAGAACTCTCTTCCTCAGAATCTTCATCACTGCTACTACTGTTAGAATTACACTCCTTTTTCTTAGGACCTCCTTCAGATTTGGAATTCAAAGGATTTGGTTTTCTGTTAGATTTTGTTCTTGGCAAACTTTTGTGAGAAATCATTTTCCCAGAGATAATTTCATCAGTATCTGCAGAATCATAATCACCATCACTATTATTTGACCTGTGATTAATGTTAATGTCTTCCAACAGTTCTTTCCTCAAATCATTCGGTGCCCAATGTGTCTGATGTCTTAAAATGTAATCCTCACCAACTACTTCCAAAGGCATGTCTTGTTGTTTATCTTCTGCCTGACTAAGCTCTTCACATTTATTCTTCGCTCTTTCATTAATCAATCCCAGTTCTTCAAAGTCAGAATTATGACATGCCATTTGAGCTTTTGACCAAGTACTACTTTTGCTAGAGGCATTATTTTCTTGTCTGCCAACATTTTGATTTATAGAACCCGCACAGGGTGATTTTGAGAAAGCAAACTTGTTCCCCGTTGTCGCAATTAATTTATCCTTATTAGACTCTCTTTTGCCATTATGTTCCACTGTGTATGAAAACATTTTGTTTGCTGTGAAATTATTGTCAGAATTATTGGAATCCACCACATTGTATTTGTTGACAGATAGCTTCTTTCTCTTAGCAGGCTGTGTCGGAGCAGGGAAGTCCCCCCGTTTTTTCTTTCTTAGTTCGTCATCATCTGGTTCTTCGAGATGCCATGTTAGGTTGGTTACAGGGGTTTTGACTTCAAAATTTGTCATACAATCAAGTTTCTTGATGTTATGACAGTATTTAGAAGGATCATACTTGATTATGTGAAATTAAGTTAAGAAACATCCAGCAGAGTATTTCCAATTGAACTAATATAACACAAAATACAAGCAGGCAGTTTCTCCAGGAAATGTTGTAAGTACTTAAAAAGTCAGACATCACTTATAAAGAGAAACACAGTGAAAGTTTATGGTCAATGATCTTTCAGCAGTTTATTTTTATTTCACAGATGCTGCTTGACCTGCTGAGCATTTCAAGCAATTTGTTTCAGATTCCAGTGACTGTTGCTATTTTGCTTTTGCAGTTTCTTCACTTCTTTTATTTTCAAAAGGATTATAATGCACCTTAAAATGCAGTTGATGTCTTTGGAGCGAGAATGTATATTCATTTCT